CTTAAATTAATATAAGAAAAGAACATGAGTTCAATTTCCACCAAATATATCTTTGAGGAGGGGCGAAAAGCTTTGATTATGACTAAGCCCTTATTCGATATTAGTCTCATAACCGACTTAAAGAATTAAAGTTTACGGGAATATTTGAGAGGCAACTCGCCTCAAAGAGACAATTAGGATTGATATGCCAAAAAAATTAATATAAGAATACAAAATACTTAAGTTATATGAGTATTTAAGGATCAATATACTATAATTATAGTATAATATGAATAAAGAATAATTCATTTCCATAATAATAAGTGATCAGTCCTATAGCTATTGGGATGGTTCATACATGGTTAAGTGTAACACCCCGTGTATACCCGGTTTGTTAACATGTCATCATATTAAGTCACGCTTAATTTAAAAATGCGGAATATCTTTTTCTTTTCAATTATGACGTCATTATACTTAGCCAAGTTGATTACTTAATCATTTCCAAAAAAACATCGTCTGTATGTAAATTGTAAAAAGACCTCTAACTAAAATACCTTAATATATAAATAAAGTGAGTATTTATGTCACAGGACTACAACACGTAGCCTGGACAATATCCTGATACATTATTACAACTCATAACTAAAAACAAGACATCGTCAATCAATGTGGCATAGACAAACCCCATGCTCACCAAATAAGGCCACAAAGCCCAACATCAGTCTCAACAGCAACAACATAATAATAATTGAAGCTAAAAGCATAAAAGCAACAGGCATATCCAGCATCCAACATGTCAGCAATTAACAGCAATATCTAACTCAGCTCTGGCCTCCTGTCACTAGAGGTCTCAACCCCTAGGTTACCTGAACCTGAAATAAGCGTTCCCAAACGTGGGGTGAGATCTCTAAACAAGAAGTCTCAGTAAGACAAGGGGTCCTCAAGGATCTTCCACCCCAAGCTCACTTACATGTGCAATATAAGTTCAAAAGCAGTAATTCCAATATAAGTTCCAAAACTATGCAGTGCAACAGATATTCATGCCATGTGTGTTATCACTATTCTAATGGCCAGAGAAATGCAGGAATACGTCTATTACCTATAGTTAGTACAAGGAACATCGCTTGCACCTCACCACAGCCTCACCCTCTTGTATGTACCACATACTCAGGCTTACCATATAGGTGGAACACCACATGCATATCATAAAGGCACTCGCATATAACAGCTCAACAGCATTTCACAAGTCAATATATCATGAAAACAACATCATGCATATAACCATACCCCCATGGGACATGGTGGAACCAACAATGGCTAAACCGATGACACAAAAGCTTACCTTGCAAGCTAACTACCCAATGCCAAGAGTCCACACAGCTCAAGTCCAACACACAGCAGAATCACAATCTGTTTTGGACCAATATTATATCAATAACCATACTCTTTAAGCACACAATAAAGACAACGCCTTTTCTTTACGTTTTACGTCCTTAGGCTTCTCATAAAGCCACAAGCCCTAAAACACATAGGTTCTGATTTAGTTAATTAATACAGAAGTTCAACTTCATCAATCTAGGGTCCACAAACCCCCCCCCCCAATAGCCTTCTGTATGAACAGTGCAGCTACTGTTCTTCGAAATCCCAGAATATCCGGATATCTGTCGGGGACATATCCGGATATCCATATTCGGATATCACAAGACCCCATATCTGAATAACAGAAGTAAAGGATGCTCTTAGAGCTCACTCAAAGCTCCCAAAGTCAGACTTCACCAAGCACACGAAAATGGCACCCCAAGGTTGGGTCTTTGCACCCAAAGATGGCTCCTTGAAGCTCAAAGAGTCATCACCAAGGGCTCTCACAACACCACTACCAAGACAGCAACTAGAACCCACCAAGGCAGTAGCAAGAACTCAGAAACAAGGCCCTCTCACTCACACAAGATAGCTCACACCAAGATATGTTGATCAAGAGAAGAAACCATGATCAAAGGTGGTGTCTTTGGTGAGAAAATGAAGAAGAAAGGGAGTAGCAAGGTGGTTGGTCTCACACACTCAGAAATTTCCAACGCTGGAGGCTCAAAAATAAACCTAGGATCATGTGCCAAGGCTATATATAGCCACTTAAGTCTTAATCGCACTGTATTAGCGCTAAATGATACGCTTAGCATTTTAATCCCAAACTTAGGATTCTGGACCTACTGAATTTTACAAGATTTATCATATTTTTATAATATTTTTCGCAGCACCTTTCCGGTACGCGCTTTTCCATAGCCAGTATCAGTTTTTGCACCAGTTCTCATTATTTTAACTTGAAACTTGAAATCACAGTCCTACATATTATTCTAAGAATATTCATGAACTTATTATAATTTTTTGAGATACTTCACCAGTACGCATTTATACCGGTAGCAGAACCGGTATCTGCACTTTTCGTCCGAAAAGCGACTTTCAGCATTATAAATCACTTTCTATATTTATATAAGCCTTCTCATAATTATTAGGGTCAATTATAGAATTATTTCCTAATTATCACATTTAATTAATTAATTTCCTTAATTAACGGTGCAGGTTCTTAAATTAAGACTACTATAGATGAATTGGGTTTTGATTGGAATGTTGATGCGGGATGTCTGTCTGACTGGCGAGATCCTCTCGAGATGTTTAAGATTAGGTTGGGACTTTGCTGTAACATGGAGAGATTGAAGGTATCTGCAAGGCACTATGACGCTCAAGTTAGTAATTATTCAAGGGTTCAAGTATTGATGGCAAGATGATCTATGTGAGCTTAATGGCTTTGTATTTATAGTATATGAGCGTCCTGGTTATTCCGTCTTTGGTATGGTCATATGTGAGCTTAATGCCTCTGTATTTATAACATATGAGCGTCCTGGTTATGTCGCCTTTGGTATGTCGGTGTTCATTTCTATTGGTGAAAAGTGATAATCTTCGCAGGCTACTTTTTGGATTAGATACCTATAGTCAGGTTAACTTTCGTAGATGTGGCGACAAGCACGTGTTTATCCTCAAGCTATTGGTTCACATGTAGGTGGCATTGTTCTGAGCAGCTGATATCGTATGGCCGTAATTGATTGAGCAGCTGAGTTGATATCGTATGGCCGTAATTGATTGAGGAGCTGATTCTATGTGTCAAATAGTTGCGACCAAGTTATGCGGAATGTTCGCGTTTCTTTTTTTACTAAACAATAGTTTTTGGATCCCTTGGGCCGCTTACTGATTGGACCTATATTTCCGCATGAGATAGATTCAGATCATTTAGATTATAGAGTATATTCTAAAAATTATAAACTAATTTAGTAAATAATTGTTCAAATTCATAAAAAATATGGGAGCCGAAGAATTGGAGCCGATAGGCCAAGTACATAACAACTACAAAATCAGGAATATCAAGAGGTCCGATTCCATTTTTCTTTTCTATATATTCCACGCAAATAAACTGATGGACCACTTTCCTTTTACTAAATAACTTTTTCTATTTAAAAATTTTTGTATGCAAAACAAAACAAAGCATATTAAGAAACTTTGTTTCGTCCAACATGATGCCAGGAAACTTTTCTTTACAGGATTTTCGTATCCTTTCTTTTTGGATCATCAAAGTTGAAATGACAACTTAATCACGTTGTCTAATGTACTTATTGGGCAGGAGATCATCTATAATAACAAGGCTTCAAATTGCTTAGTTGTCAAGAAAGGGTGGTCTTCATAAATCATGGTGATAATAATTAATAACAATGTATCACTTTCTGTTTTTTTCTTTTCTTCGGGTCTTTTACATTAGCCAATAAATTCACTCTTTTTTTTAGGATAGGCCCATCAAAACCATTGAGCCTGGAAATGATAATGGGATGTGAATATTTTCTCTTGACAGAAGCCCATTGTCCGTTTAGCCCAAAATAGTTAACTAACATAAGCCCACCCTCAAGGACAAAAATAAATTGCATTGTGGACTTGTGGTCTATGACAAGAGAAGAAGGAACAAACCTCCATAGCATACTTTTAAAAAATTTCAGAACATTAATTTGGTTTTGCATGATAATTTTCTGACATTATAATTATCAAATTATTTAATTTTATCTAATCGATATCATTTATTATACAAAGACATAATTTAAGAATGAGTTAATGTTCCTAATTTAAGGATAAGTCCATATTAGATAGTGTTCTTAAGTTTGGATTGGACTATTTGGTTGAATCGTGAACTGGTCAGTTAACTTGTGAGTGATATAGGAGTACCTACTCTTTTATTAAAAATAGAAAAAAAAAAAAAAATTTAGTGTGAAGAACCATAAAGGAATGAGAGAAAAAATAAAAAATTAGGTGTATTATATTTTTTTTAAATTTTAATAAGAATGTACAGAGTATTCAATATCCCGTAATACTAAACATATTTTCCCGTGTGAGATGGATATCTGCCAATGACCAATACAAAGAAACGTAACAGAGACGATGAACTTATAAAAAGTATGATAACTATTCGTAGAATGGTCATTTAAAATTTAAAATATGAATTTCTTAAATTGTATTATATTGTGTTATGATATCTTAAAATTTTGAATATGAATTATGAACCTAAATATATATTTGCCCAATGATTGACTTATTTATTAAATAATAACGTAATACCTCATCAGAGACGAGTTTAATATCATTGATATTAGGAATTTGAGGAAAAGGTATATTTGATGCCTTATACGATTATTTTACTTTATATTTTGTATATGTTTCCTTTTTTTTATATTTTGAACGTCTAATATTTAATATACATAAATATCACAGATGCACTATGGCACTGCATCAGAGGCAGATGCCAGATTTTATACGCAGGAGTGTTGGGAAATGAAGAGACCTACAAAAAAGAATTAAATAAGATCGGATCTACGGATCCTCCTTATATTCTTGATATCAAACTAAAATTACTGAATAAGTTTATTATATATATAACGCAAGAAAAGGACAACGACAAAGAGAATTGAATAATTAGATAAATAGCCCCCTCTCATACTTGTTTAGGAGAGGGGTTTACATAAAATTAATGATTTAATTAATATCATTGCAGGGAACAAGATGGTTATAGTAGTCTTAGTGATAATGACCCAATTGTAGTAGGTGCTACCCAAAAATACCAGTGCCCATAGTTCCACTTCTTAGAATAATATAAAATTGGAGATAAAATCATGTCTAATTTCAAGGGCATTTGGGTCCTCCACGCTTGGTTTTCCAGTTGTTGTAGCAGGGGCAAACAGACTTGTTCCCATAGTAGCCAGGAGGAACACACAAGCACTTAGCACAGCATTTTTGGCAGAAGAACATGCATGGCTTTTTGTATTGTGTCTGGCCACATCTTCTTGAGCATTGAGATGGGCACTCTGGTAAAATCAAATTCAGAAACAATAACCCATTAGATTACATTCAATGCATATAATTTAAGCAAATGATCAGTTGAAAACAATAGATCATTTGCTAAATCTTCAGCAACTTTCAAGACATGATGAACAACTACAACTTGTTGGGCAAAAATAGAGTAAGATTACTCACGGTAGCTCTGTAGACTCCCAGGTCCATAATTCCCCTGAAAATAAATGGAAAAAATTAGTCAATATATGAATTGTTTTAATATAATCATGTTATGAGAACAAATCATGTATTTCATGATAAATTAACAGTCACAATTTTAATAAGAAAGTTCGTCCAATGAAGATAAAACAATTCTTTTAATTGCTTGACATACATTTGATCTATCAATGAATAGTTAAGAATTTTTACATGACATGATAATGTTGAAATAAGATATGAGAGGATCATTCTCGTTACAGAATGCCCACCAAGGGGACTAGAGGGGTAGCTGGAAAATGTTCAAATCAAAGAGAAGAGATACTCACACTGTCCAAGTGATATTGAGCAGCATCTTTTGCAATACACTGCAAAGATGTAGTAGAAATTTAAAAAGCAAGGTTATTTTCTTAAGACTTGTAGCATAGTACAACAATGGTACGTACATGTAACATGTTACTGTAATGGATTGTAATAGGAGGGGACTAACCTGAGTTGCGATCATGGAAATGCCAAGGAGTGCTAGAAGCAGAACAAAGACAAGCTTAGCCATGGCCTTTGCACCAGACAAAAGGGTACAAGACTTCTTGTGGAGAAAGAGAGAAAAGAAATAGTGATGTGGGGAAGGAGTGAGGGGCCTCTAATTTAAAAAGGCCTAAATGGTTTGGTGTGTATGGTTTGATTCAGATGCGAAGTTTGTAGGTGCTATAAATAGATGCGGTGGAGTTTGAAGCCACCAGATTGGATAATTGGAGTTTTGGATTCCGCAATGCATTAATTATTATATCATATATTATATAACTGTTATCATGATAACATGAACACGTTGTATCTATATTCTACTATCTTATACCGAATTGGTGAACCATTCAATAATCTTATTTATGATTTTCCGGTTGTTGATATATCCGTGGATATAAAGTTGGACACTACAATATATAACTCTTAAAGTATTAAAAGAGAAAATAAATATGTAAAATCGTTATATTTTACATATATTTGAGAAAATATAACGTCATATTATAACAATAAATTTAATAATGTAAAGAGTATATAATATTTAAAGTATTATTTCTACAACATCACTTTATATATTTTTAAATATCATTACAAAATATATATAATTTTCATCTTGAAATAATACATCAATCTACTAGACAGTGTCAGACAGGAAATGATTTATGTCAATCGAATCATAATTCTTTTTCTCCCCTCAATTATAAGTATTCAAAAGAAGTTTTAATAAACTCTCTCAAAAAAGAAGAAGAAATCTTAATAATAGTTCTAACTTAAGTAATGTACTAGGGTAAGCCTACATCGCTAAGTTAACAATGCTATACAATTCATTGATTAAATAATTAAAAATTATTGTCCAAAAAAGTAATATATATATATATATATATATATATATATATATATATATATATATATGGGAAAAAAAAGTGTACTGTTACAGGAAGATTTGTATGTTATGCTATAGAGACATCGAAGAGCGTGATTTCATTTTTTACTTTTGTGTTTTTTTTTTAAAACATGGCTCCCACCGTTAAATGTGTCTGCTGGAAAGAGAAAGAAAATCCTGTTACATGACATTCATAAACCCTTATATATATATATATATTGTGGTGGACAAAAAGAGTCTAGCCCAAGCAACAAAGCAAGAAAGAGAAACAATCAAAAACCAATCCTACGAATAGTATCTACAGAAGATACATAAGCTAAAATACGAAGCTTCAGATAAGGGGATCATAAAATCGAATGAAGGTATCTTGAAACTGATTCTCCAGAGGCAAATTAGCCTGCACATTACTTAGCTTCCCTGTATAAGTGCTATAAATGAACCCTCGAGTACTTGACCAGCCATGTTCGTATTCGAGTCATTAAATGAGATTCACGAGCAACGAGATTAACGAGCTGCATCACCAGCTATTATTCGAATATCGCTATTATATTACTTGAGTCACTTTCAACAATAATTCTTTTTCTCTGGTCACTCCACTCCAAACCATTTCCAAACCTTTAACTATACCCTATAATTCTAAAAAAAAAGATTATATATTTGTAAATCAACATACTTCGAATGGAAGAATATTTTCTCCTTGTCATATTTGTTTTCATATTTTTTTATTCAAATTTCGATTTGAGTATTGTCAGATTTGCATTGAGAGTGCTCTCCTAACTGAATTTTCTCCATTTTGAGAACTCTCTACTTGAAAATTTTAATTAAGAAGAATAAACTTCTTACCCATTTGATGATAATATTTTTCTTTATTTTGCTAAAGAAATAACTTTTTTTTCTCTGAATGCAAGTTACGTATCAATAAATAATCTTCTCTCTTTTCTCCCTTTGAACTTTTTTTGGTATCCTTCTCCCTTTGAACTTCTTTTTTGACAAAAAGGTATACTTTTGTCATTTGTCTTTAGTGTTTTTATTTTTGAATTAATCTTTAAGTTTATCACATTAGTGCAATATCTTTTCTAAAGGTTACTTCTGTTTGTATCATGAACAGATTGACTTACTTAATTTGTATGTGACATCAATAACATTTTGATTAACTTGTAAGAAAACAGAGTATTGATTTAGTAATTTAAGAGATTAACTTTAATAAAAATAATAATTAGAGATAAATTTAAAAAAATAAAAATAAAATTATAGGATTAAAATATCTTATTTAATAGAGAATCAATGAACAGAACCACGTGATTTAATCATATAAAATTGGCATGGGAAACCAACAATCCGTACTGCAATAAGGGACATTATTTATTATTACTGTTGTTATTGTTAAAAAGGAGATAATAAAGATAAAACTAATAATTGAAGCATGAGAAGAGGAAATTAGATAAAAAAACATGTTAAAATTTTATATTTATTTTGTTGGTGAGAGATATAACTATTAAGTGACAAGACGGGAAAGAGAGATTGGTATATTGAAGAATAGTGCATGGGAGACCAATCACATGGGTAGGTAGTTAATGCTGGGACCCCAAAGGATGAGGCATCTATAATTGAAAAGGAAAGAAGGGTAAGCCATGTGCCCTTGTGCATTTGCACATGACCTCAAAGATAAGCCAAATAAATGACAGCAATGCGCACGATGCTCTGTCACCCCAACACCCCCAATTTCCAATGTACATCACCCATTCACCACCAACTCACGAGGGACTAGGCACTGCACAGAAGCACACTCTTCTGCATTCTTAGTGACACAAACTCTTTATCTGCTTAAGCCAATGGACAATGGTTCAGAATATTTGCCGCCATACTCTATTATTTTCAATAATTAAAAAAGAATAGTTATACAATTATTTTAGACTTACTATTCTTACGACCTGATTAATTATTATTGAATTAATTTGAAATTAACGGTTAAAAAAAAAAAAAATTGATTGTTGTTGATTTCAAATTAATCCAATAATAACCATTAAGGAAATAAAAGTAGTATGATTAAAAGATAGTAAGTATAACTTTTTTCATTAATTTTTTTTTTTTGAACATGCCTTATACTGTTAATATGTTTCATACTTTTCTTGCTTATTACTGATTTGTTAATGTCAAAATTTTGTGTCAATTTCTTTCTTCATTGATATTATATCCCACTTATTTAATATCTAAGTAAAGAAAAATAAACACTGTTATGGACCTGGGAAAGGTCCATGCCAGCAAGAAACCCAACCGGCACAAGCCCAAGGGTAAATTCTATAAATAGGAGCTAAAGACTACAAGTATGACTGATCTCTCTAACCTTATTTCTTTCAAACACGACAGTGCACACACACACACCCCTTCTTGCTAAGGCCATCATATAGTGTGTAGTGATTCGCTGTCCCAAAGATACCTAATTCATAGGCATCTAGAGAGAAAGCTACAGATCCAATATCAAACACCCGACCTACGGTCGGACACATCTGCACAAGGCAGAACATTGGCGCTGTCTGTGGGGAACTTTTTCCTACTACTACGTGATTAAAGGTTACAATGGTGAGGACAACAAGAAGTGGATTTCGACAACCTTCAAGATCGAACTCCAGACACTAACCTGCTCCACCAATCAGAGAGGATCCGTTGAATCATCAACCAATCGATACTGATGCGATCCATGTTAGTGATGTGCATTCCGATTCGGCATCAACCCCAGCCGTTAACCTGGATGCCCCATACGTGCAAGGCTTACACCCGACGGAGGACCAAATAATGAATGGCATGCAGGTCCCCAATGGCGAAGTTGGTGATTCGCGAATAACAGATCTGGCTGTTGCTGCGGTCCTGCGAAGGATGGAGGAGATGGAGCGAAGGCACGAGCTCGAGAGAGAGCAAGGTGCTAGACAGATGCGCGAGTTAGAAGCTCGGCTAGGGCGAGTCTCTAACCCAAATCTGGAGTTAGCCATAACCCGGGTCATGAATGATTTGAGGATCACAAATCCCCAGAACAATGATAGAACCCAAACTCAAAGGAGGATGTTGAAAGCGTACCTGGCCGACCTCAGAGGAACACTTCCAACACGGCTGGTGGCCAAGTGATACTATATGGATGTCCTAGAGACAATCTTTTGATTAGATTAGGACATATGTGGACCTTTTATATTGTCGCAAATAAATAAAAGCACACTTTATCTTGTTTCATATTTTGTCTAAATATTATTGTTAATATTTTATATGAGTAATTGGATAAACACCTTGGAATAAAATAGGTATCTCTTGAGTATCTGTGATGAGATCACGATCATGAGGATTCAATGATACTGAATGTTTATTCCTAATTTTATGTTCCTAGTCTAGAGACACTGAGAATGGGGATCAGTGATCTCGGGTAAGACTAGCACGACTTATCTACTTGTATACGGATACAAGGTAAAAGACCTCATGTGCTACAGATATGAAGATGTCTTAGCTAAAGTCGTGGGTGGACTTACAAGGGTATAGCTCGCACTGAGCAGACCCACAAAGAGACTCTATGAGGAAATCTCACAAATAGTGTCATTGGAGTAGTCTCTTTATATTTGGGTATGTATTTCCTTAGACCAGATGATATTACCTAGACTGTGCTCTAGAAGGCATGCTTTGATTGTATACCTCGTCTGCCTAAAACATGGAGACTCACAGGTACACTATTGGGCTTGTCCTGAAAGAGCACAGGGCTAGGGTGATAAGCTGAACGAATTCGTCAAATCTCTGTGAGAGATTAGGTTATCTGTAAACCGGAGAAATCGGGATGACATTTACAGGGACTCGGGAATCTATGCATAGTAAAAGAGATGATGAGATGATCTGCCTTTAGAGTCAGTAAATTGAAGATTCCCTATTTCGAATAAAGCTTACCCTAAACCGCAAGGGTTGATACGTTTCCTTACCCTAGGTTTAATGGGAAGGTAACCGAGACGAAAGGAAATATATACGGCAACCAAATATGTGTAATAGGATGATCAAGTCATTAATCTAACTAGCTCTGGGGCAACAAAGCATTGCTAGTGCTCTGTGTTGTCATTAAATGGGTTGTGGGCTTGTTGGGCCCGAGCCCATTTATGTCAGTGGCCATGTTGGACCTAATGGGTCACACACTAACACCTTATTGTCATGATGATCTAGCATTAAAGGTATTAGGCCTAATAATGGTTGTTAGCCCAAGAAGAAGTTTGGAA